TTTTCTGGGAGGGTCATTTTCACAGCAGAGTAAGCTGAACGGGCCAGAAAATTGTGCTGAGTATGACTTTCTTTCCCCCCTTTTTCTCTCTTCCCCATCCTATTCCCCCCCAGCAGGCTTGATAGAGTCTCCATCCAACCAGCCTGCCTTGGACCTTCCAAGAAGGCAGATAATGACTGCAGGAATTGCAAGAGACTTGGAGGGTGCAAAGCTACCTATGGTCCACTTGGGGGGAGAGAGAGATTGGCATCAGGTCTTCAAGGAGGCTGACGGGAAGTCATATCCCAAGTCTCTGGAGCACAAGGGGTCAAGGGGTCTGGCTGTTGACCAGAAGAGTGGGGGTGGTTTGAGTTCAGCCAGGAGCACCTGCAGGTACCCTTCCCTTGACAAGACGGCTGAGTGGGAGAGTTGATGGACGGCTAATGCCCTGTACTCTGTATGCATGGATTCAAATCCCATCTCAGCTGTCACTTCTTCCACTGATAGTCATTCTGGGGCTTCAGTTGTGGTTATCCTCACAAACCAAAAGCAGATTAATGCTCTGGGCTCAAGAGTGAGGATATCCTGAAGTTATTTCTACATTTTACTTCCTGCTGAGAATGCAAGGTGACATCAGTGCCAGCCATTATTTCTCTTCTTCTCCCATTAAAACAGAATCTGAGGGAAAACTTCATCCGGTGATGCTGCCTGTAAGAAGGCAGCATCACTGCCTTTGCTAGAAGAGCAAAAGGTGGAAGGAGACCTGCGCCAGCCGGGACTCGAACCCGGGTCACAAGGTTGGAAACCCTGCATGATGCCCCTACACCACTGGCACAGCTGTTGAGAGTCTGTCTCAGGAGAAGCAATATTAATATCCAGAGTTTCTCTTTTCCCATCTGATGGCGGGAAAGAGGAACACACTGGGTCTGATTGTTCTCTAGCCAGCCCAGCTCTGGATGCTCAAGTGGTGGGAGTCAGGAAGTAGGCCTGTGCCAGGTCTCTGTGGCGCAATGGGTTAGCGCGTCTGGCTGTTAACCAGAAGGATGGTGGTTCGAGCCCACCCAGGGACGGCCTGTTTTCTTTGATTCAGAGCAGAGGTGATGGATTGAATGCTGCACCCAGTTCTTCATCTGGAAGTTTCAATTCTCACTGTGTTGATCCTTTTTCTCACTAAATACTTTACCAATTTCTGTATTTTTTTACCTTCCAGGGTGCAGAAGGAAGAAGAAGGCAGACTTATTCACAGTCAGTGACTAAAGCGGAAGGGGGGAGGAATCGCCCCACGTGTCCTGAGCTTCTTCCTTGGGAGGGAGAAGTGCTGGAGAGGCATAAGGCATCCTGAAGAGGTCCTCGGCTGGAGCTCTCCAGGGTCCTGAAACTGCTGCCTGTTGCAAAGATTAGGCCACCTGCATGTTACTTCTAGGAAGACAAAAGGGAGGAGGAGGAGGAGGAGGAGAGGAGCAGCAGCCGATACTCAGATTTGACTCACACAAACGTAACATTAATGCCTCCTCAATGCCTGGGCACTTGCTGAGACTGTTTGCCTACCAGGTCGGTTGAGAAGCAGAAGCATGAAACATAGAAGGGCTTTGGCACTCAAGGCCAAGAGATGTTAGAGACTCAAAACAAGACGTGGTTGATTGTGCAGCTGCCAGCCTGGAAAAACGAGAGCTGCTTGGAGACATATTTAGCCAGCAGGCAGCCATCTATTAGAAAACAAAATCCCCGTTTCGTCTCTCCTGGTGTGGGGACTGAAGCCAAAGCCTGCATCTCTGTGGCAGGAAATGCTTCTGTTGCATCAATCTGGCACTGACAGTGTGCACCCCCAGAGGGGAGGGGGAGGGAGCCCCATCTGTCCTGCAGCAGCTGCTACACCTGAGAGAGAGTCAAGGGGAGGCCTGTGCCTGTCTCTGTGGCGCAAGGGGTTAGCGCGTCTGGCTGTTAACCGGAAGGATGGTGGTTCGAGCCCACCCAGGGACGGCTGTGGGTCCCCTGCCCCCTTGACGAGGTGGCCGAGTGGTGAAGGTGATGGACTGCTAATCCATTGTGCTCTGCACGCGTGGGTTCGAATCCCACCCTCGTCGACACCTTTTCCTTCTGGGTGCAGGATTTGGGGGTGAAAGGATTAGTATATTGTATATTAGAAGGGTGAAACACTGAGCTGTGTCGCTATTTTTGCAGTGTTTGTGCTCTTTCTTCAGGGATAGAATTCTTGTGCTTTCTTTGTGAAGTACCTCAATTTCTGTTGTTCCCTCTAGTTCGCTCTTAGGCTATTTTTGGAATTTCTTTCTTTGACAAGATACATACTCACCACTCCAAATATTCTCCATTATGAATATTGGGGGGTTTTTCCTAATATTTTTCATAGACAACTATCCTTTTGGTTTCCAGCTCCAATGAAACATTTTTCATTGTTCGTTTCAGTTTGAATTATGGAACCCAAACCATGTTTCAATGTCTGGCAATATGCTACATACATTGACCAGGAAGGCACCCGGATATTCTTATTAATCATAATGATCTCGTTTGAATATTTATTGTTTTAAATTTTTAAAATTTATTGTTTTAAATTTTGTTTTGCAACAGACTTCTAAACCAGGGGTCTCAACCTTGGCAACTTTAAGCCTGGTGGACTTCAACTCCCAGAATTGGGAGAACCCTGTTCTAAACCATCTCTGGATTTTTGGCAGGGAGTAATTGTATAAGAAGTCTTCTACAGGTAGTCCTCAATTTACGACCACAATTGAGCCCAAAATTTCTTTTGTTAAGCAAGACAGTTAAGGGAGTTTTGTCCCATTTTAGAACTTTTCTTGCCACGGTTGTTAAGTGAATCACTTGTCAAGTGAATCATCAATTAAATTAGTAACATGATTGTTAATTGAATCTGTCCTCCCTATTTGCTTGTCACAAAAGGTCACCCCAGGACAGGGCAAATATCACAAATGTCACTTGACAAGCATCTTAATTCTGATCACGTAACCATGGGGATGCCGCAAGTGTGGTCATTAAGTGTGAAAAATGTTCATAACTTTTTTTTTTCACTTCTGTTGTAACTTCGAATGATCACTAAACGAATAGTTATAAGTTGAGGATGACCTGTACAGAAATGAATAGTAATAATAAACAAATAAAATTCTGCCTCCCAGCTTATGGGTGACGATTAGTGGTAATGGAGCATGGGAAATTCCCATGCTGTGAGCCCCCTCATTCCCAGCTCTGTCCTTTCAGGGAACTTAATTCTCAGGGCAGGATGATGGTCTTGACAGGTGACAGATGGATCATCTGGCTTGAAAGTTTGAAGGTTATGAATGGTGGCTTTTCCATTTGCTGCTTCAGTAATCATCTGTAGTGAAACTACAGCACAGGACAATATCAGGGGTGAAATGCTTCCGGTTCGGACCGGATCGCCCGATCCAGTAGTGATGGCAGCAGGTGGTTCGGAGAACCGGTAGCAAAAATCCCTGTGCCCCCGCCCCCATGCCCAGCTGAGCCGCATGATCATCAGAGGCTTTTTTTTTTTTTTACTTTTAAAAGCATTTTTTCTACAACCTCTTCCGACGAAAAAATGGGTAGACCAGTACCTGCAAAAATACATGAGTAGACCGGTGCCTGCAAAAATAAATGGGTAGACCAGCGCCTGCAAAAATACATGAGTAGATCAGTGCCTGCAAAAATAAATGGGTAGACCGGTGCCTGCAAAAATACATGAGTAGACCGGTGCCTGCAAAAATAAATGGGTAGACCAGTGCCTGCAAAAATACATGAGTAGATCAGTGCCTGCAAAAATAAATGGGTAGACCAGTGCCTGGAAAAATACATGAGTAGATCAGTGCCTGCAAAAATAAATGGGTAGACCAGTGCCTGGAAAAATACATGAGTAGATCAGTGCCTGCAAAAATAAATGGGTAGACCAGTGCCTGCAAAAATAAATGGGTAGATCGGTACAGCTCTGCAAGCAGTTAAAAGCCTGGTAGACCAGTACCTCTGCTAAATCCTAAATAATTGTCCCATGACCATCAAGCCACGCCCATAAAATAAGCCACGCCCACAGAACTGGTAGTAAAAAAATTTAGAACCCACCCCTGCTGCAGACATTATAAATGGATGCTGGTTGCCAAGTTCCCAAATTTTGATCACGTGACTATGGGTATGCCTGTGAAAATAAATTGACCGCCCTGCCACAAAGAGGAGGGGGGGTCAACTTATTTTCCAAAGCACCTGAGGGCAGGACAAGAAACAATGGATGGAAGCTAATCAAGGAGAGAAACAACCTGGAATTAAGGAGAAACTTCCTAACAGTGAGGACAATTAACCAGTGGAACCTTCAGAAGCTGTGGGTGCTCCATTGCTGGAGGTTTTTAAGAAGAGACTGGACAACAGTCACTTGTCTGAAATGGTATAAGGCAGTGGTGAAATCTAAAATTTGTTACTACCGGTTCTGTGGGTGTGGCTTGGTGGGGGTAATGTGACTGGGTGGGCGTGGCCAATTTTTTTTTTTGTTTACTTTTAAAACCATTTTTTCTACAACCTCTTCGGCGAAATGCTTTCAAAAGGCTCTGACGATCCCAGCTGAGCCGCGCGATCATCAGAGGCTTTTTTTAAATTTTATTTTAAAAGCATTTTTTCAGCCAAAGAGGTTGTAGAAAAATGCTTTTAAAAGTAAAAAAAAAGCCTCTGATGATTGTGCGGCTTTATTTATTTATTTATTTATTTGATTTATATGCCGCCCTTCTCCAGAGACTCAGGGCAGCTTACAATGCGTTATGCAATAGCCTTCATACTGTTGTATATACCTGCTTAGTAGGGCTTTTGCCCCCCCCTCCCAGCGATGTTCTTTTTTATACAAAGTCAGCTTATTGCCCCCACAAACCGGGTCCTCATTTTACCTACTTCGAAAGAATGGAAGGCTGAGTCAACCTTGAGCCTGGTGAGATTTGAACTTGCAGTAATTGCAGGCAGCTGGTGTTACTTAATAGTGCTTTCATCTGCTGCGCCACCAAGGCTCTTTTTTAGTGCAGGTGTAACATTCACTCTTGTATTTATTTTCGTTTATCCACTAAAGTAAAATACAAAATAGAAAAACAAACATTCAACATTAACAATGGAAAAAAAAAAAGAGAAAAAAAATTATTTGTGTACAAAAGAAAGAGGGGATAAAAAAACCAAATGTTTAATATATCTAATTTTAAAAAAACAAAAAGAATCCATCCATCCTGATTGGCTGTTGATAAAAAAAGGTAGTCCTAGACTTACAATGTGGTAACCGTTCGACACTGAAAAATGTGACTTAGGACCATTTTTCACACTTAGGACCACTGCAGCATTCCCATGGCCACATGATCAAAATCCGAATGCTTGGCAACTGATTTATGACAGCTGCAGTGTCCCAGGATCATGGGATCCCATTTTGCGACCTTCTGACAAGCCAAGTCAATGGGGAAGCCAGATTTACTTAACAACTAGTTACTAGTTTATCAACTGTGCAGTAATTCACTTAACAAGGAGCCTGAGTGGCGTAGGAGGCTAATGCCTCCTACTAAGGCAGCATTTAACATCCAGTTGCCTGCAATTACTGCGAGTTCAATTGTCACCAGGCTCAAGGTCGACTCAGCCTTCCATCCTTTCTAAGGTGGGTAAAATGAGGACCCGGTTTGTGGGGGCAATAAGCTGACTTTGTATAAAATATACAAAAGTATGAAGGCTATTGCTTAACGCATTGTAAGCCACCCTGAGTCTCTGGAGAAGGGCGGCATATAAAAATAAATAAAAAAATTAATAAAAAACTGTGGCAAGAAAGGTCTCTGGAGAAGGGCGGCATATAAATCAAATTAAAAAAAAAAGGTCGTAAAAAAGGGCAAAACTCACTGAACCAATGTCTCACTTAACAACAGAAATTTTGAGCTCAATTGTGGCCATAAGTCGAGGACTACCTGTAAAAAATTTTTTAAATAGTAGGTTCTCCTTCCCTTACATAACGAGTCTACAAATAACTATGAACTTTCCCATCCTTATTCAACAAAAATATTGTATTAAATAAAACAGGTATTCCAGATGAGAGAATCTATCCTTCTAATAATCAAATAGATCCAATACTTAGTAGTGTCAGATCCCTAAAAGTGATGCTGCCATTCAATTGGGTGAAGGGGGAAGGGGGGCTTGGATTCGATTCATTAGTATTGCCTGTGAAAACTGGTATTTTATAACTTGTATCCTGGCGCCGAAGCGCCCTGAGATCTTCTCACATCTTGGGGAATGTATAGAAGGGATGGCCATGTGTGTTATTTCACTTTGATAGCCAACTTAAGATAACCATGGGAATATATGCTTATTCGGTTCTCAGGGCAGCTGGTAAAATAACATCTTCACACCTGTGGATTGGCTAAATTTGCATTCTGGCTAAGGGGAGGGGTCTCTACTGCTTTAATTCTACTTGTCTTGCCTAAGGGTATTCAGACGCTGCTTTGAATCCATTGCTGTCACGTCTGCTTAATAAAAGGTTCTTTTTGAAATACTCCTGTTTCAAGAGTCTTCACTTCCTTAAGTTAGGAGGAGAGGCAATCCTTACAAATGGGCTGTTCTAACTTTCAACAGGCTAAACAAATGGTTGCAAGCAGTGGTGGGATTCAAGTAATTTAACAACCGGTTCTCTGCCCTAATGATTTCTTCCAACAACCAGTTTGCCAAACTGCTCAGAAAGTTAACAACCGGTTCTCCCGAAGTGGTGCGAACTGGCTGAATCCCACCACTGGTTGTAAGTTAAAGACTATCTGTACTTATTATTTTTTTAATTGAAAGTTAACTATGTGATCTATATTTGATGTGAGAAACGTTAAGGTCCAGTAAGAGAATAAGCAGTTGGTGAAAGTATCCGCAATTCCAGTCGTGACATACATATCAAGTATGAAAGGCCACGGAGACAAAGATATTCTAACTAAACCTTTTTCCTCACCTTCAATTAAGGATTGTCCTGATCATAGTACAGGCGTCCTCGACTTACAACCCAATTGAGCCCAACATTTCTGTTGCTAAGCAAGACAATAAAAGTGAGTTTCGTCCCATATTACATCTCTTTTGTTACGTGAATCGCAGCAGTTGTTCGGTTAACACAGTTGTTAAAGTGAAACTGGATTCCCCGTTGACTTTGCTTGTCAAAAGGTTGCAAAAGGCGATCACGTGATCCTGGGACACTGCAGCCGTGTGTGCAGTTGTCAAGAGTTCCAATTTTGATCACATGACCACGGGGATGTGGCCAACGGTGTGAAAAACGGTCCTAAGTCACTTTTTTCCAGTGCCATTGTAACTTTGAACGGTCCCTAAACGTACCGTTGTAAGATGAGGATTACCTGTTTGTCTATGACAGAGGTCTTCAAACTTAACAGCTTTAAGACTTGTGGACTTCAACTCCCAGAATTCTCCAGCCAGCTTTCTGGGAGTTGAAGTCCACAAGTCTTAAAGCTGCCAAGTATGAAGATCTCTGGTCTATGATCTCTCTCCCAGCTTTGCTCCCTGATGGGTGTTGAGATCTGATCTTCCCTCTAAATGATTCTGATCGGTTGAGCGCCTGTATGGATTCACCCCTGTATGAATGCGTTCATGTGTCATCAGGCCGGATTTCTGACAAAAGGTCTTCCCACAGCGTGCGCACTGATATGGTTTCACTCCGGTGTGAATTCGCTCGTGGGTGATGAGGTTTGACCCGTCGGTGAAGCTCTTCAGGCACACAGAGCACTGATACGGTTTCACCCCGGTGTGGATCCTTTCGTGAACCCTCAGGACGGCCGCAGTGCGGAAATTCTTCCCACAGCTGGGACATCTGTAGGGCTTCTCCCCCAAGTGGATTTTTTCGTGGACGCTCAGGGTTCCCTTCTGGCGGAAAGTCTTCCCGCACGTCAAGCATTTGAAAGGCTTCTCGTCCATGTGGATTTTTTCATGGATGGTGAGAGTCCCCTTTTGCCGGAAGCTCTTCTCGCAGTACGTGCATCGGTACGGCTTCTCTCCGGTATGAATCCTCTTGTGGGTGATGAGGTTGGAGCTGCTGGTAAAAGTTTTCTGGCACGTGGGACACCGAAAGGGAACTTCGCCGGTATGAATTCCTGTGTGGGCCTTTAGTTGGGCAGATTTACGAAAAGGAATGCTGCATTCCGTACACGTATACGGCTTCTCTCCGGTGTGAATTCTTTCGTGTACCCGAAAATTGGAGCTCCATTGGAAACGTTTGCCACAGTGACACTGGTGGATTTTATGGCCGGTCTTGGCTTCTTCTGGATCAGAATCACTTTTACCGACAGAAACAACTTCGTCCAAGCTTCTTTTTGGGGAATTCCATTCTGTTTCTGGGTCCTCCTGGTTCTTAGGCCTCACTTCCTCCTTGCAATGCTGGGAGGGTATGATGTCTCTTTTCAATATCTCATTTTCTGGTACCTCAGAAATGCTCTGACGAAGATGGTTGTCTTGGTTCATCTGTCTGTGATTGTCACCTTGGGGAAGGAAGTAGGTCATAAGTCTTTAGATAAAGCTCAGGTGACATTCTAGGTCAAAATTCTGTAGGATTCAGGATTTTTCTAGAGTTCACAAACACTTGCTTTTACCACTGTATTAGTAGCAATTCCTTACTACTGGATTTTATGTAGTGTTCCTTAATCTCTCTTAAACATAAGCCTCTTCGAATGTTTAATCGCAGGGCATGTATGCTTTTAGGTATCAAATACTTTGTGGTTAATGTGGGCTACTCTACTAACAAATTTTATGTTGGGGTTTATGTGACACAACCACTCTGTTTTAAAGGGGGAAAAATCTACACATTCCTGACCTAATAAGTCATGGAAAAGGTAAACTTCAACAGCTTCTCCATTTCACAATATTTTTCTGGGTGTGACAATTTTGGGGAGGACAATAACTGCCAGATGGCCTGTTTTAGATAAAAACAAGAGTCCATTTAATTAAATAAGTATAATATAAATCTAAATGCAAATGCAATAATTTGACTCAGATTTGCCACCAAATCAGAGCAGATCAAAAAAGGGGCATCAATGTAAACTCTCATCCTATTTATGGAGCATAATCATCTTCCTACTTGTGCAGGATTCAAACCAGTTCTCTCACACCTGAAGGAGAATTATACCGCTATCGATGATTAGCAACTCTTCTTCAGATGTTATAGATCAAGGGAGAAGCACTCAACACCTTTGGGTGATGAAATGCAGCTCATGCTTACCGAATGAACTCATTTCTTTCTCAATGTCCAGCTTCATCTCCTTGGACAGCTGCCATCCCCATGAACCTAGTGGTAGAAATTGGCTTCCCTGGGAAGGCTCCTCAATTGCCGCCATCCTCAAAGGACCCGGACTCTGGAATGACACAAAACAACTATTCAGTGGAGCAAAATTCATCAGCTATGATGGGAAAATAGATAACCTGCATGTGTCAATCTTCTCCCATCTCTCTCTCGATGTGGAGGAAGATTAAAACAATTTCTCCTTCACTTACTCTGGATAGTAAACAGTCCTGGGCCCCTTGGTCTCCTGGTAGCAAAACTGTGGGGAGATTAAAATAATTTCTCCACTTACTCTGGACAGAAGCAGAAAGTCAGAGAGTAATGGAGAAGCAGACTTAGAAGGTACCATTCATCTTCAAAGCTTTATTCCTTAATTTGATCTCATATGTAAAAAGAAAATGGAATTAAAGAACCTCTGTTCTCTAACATTGCCTTGGATTTTGGATACCTTGAGACAACCAAGCTCTACTAGATTCTCACAATTCCCCAAAAAACAGAGAGTGGAAAATGCATTAAATTCTCATTCTCCTCCATCTTCTGGAGAACCAGCTGAAGAGCACCCCAGAAACTTTACCTCTTCCTCCTGTTTCACCAAGCTCCGCTTCGACAGAAACTCCTCAGCCAAGAGTACAGCCCCAGTGCAAGACTCAGGGCCGTGAGCTCTGACCCAGCTCTGCATCTCTGGAGGTAGGATGCTCAGGAACTGCTCCAGGACCAGAAGCTCCAGGATCTCCTCCTTTGAGCACCTCTCAGCCTTCAACCACTGCCAGCAAAGTTCCTGGAGATGCCTGTAAACAGCCCTGGGCCCCTCGGTCTCCTGGTAGCAAAACTGCCGGAAATCCCGGCGCTGTTTCTCCCTGGCCAGGGCCTCCCCTCGCAAGATGGCTGCCTTCACCTTCCCATAGTCTCCTCTTTCTTGGCTGCTAAGGCTGTTGAAGGCCTCCTTGGCTTCTTGCCTGAGTCCTGGCACAAGAAGAGTCACCCATTGGTCCTGGGGCCATTTGCAGGTGGATGCAACTTGCTCAAAGGAAGTTAGGAAGGCCTTCGTGTTGACCCAATGCGTGGGCTCCTCTACTGTCTCAGCATGGGCCCTCTCTGAGCGAGGACCCTGCAGGCTCCTGAGGAACTCCTGCCACTGGGCTTCCCAGCAATCTTGCAGTCCCTCTTCGGGTTTGCATTTCACCTGTTGGAGAGGAACCATGCCAGAGGAGGCTTTCATTGCCTCCAGGTCTGACCAGAGTTTGACCAGTGAAGTACTCTGTTTCTGCATCTTCAGCTCCGGGTCCTCCATGGTCTCTTCCTCCATGGACATGTTCACCTGCACACTCAGGGTCTCCATCCCTTAAACCTTCCTTACTACCCGTCTGTGAATCTTTTGCTAAAACCAGCTTTCTGATAAGCACAAGATGGACTCTCCTGCAGTGAAAAAAATAGATATGCAAAAGAATATTTAGAAAGTAATTCTGTTAATATATAAGTTAAGCTTATATATTTCTAGAGTCTTCCTGACCTTCTAGATTTCTTGGTTCAAAGATATTTTGGATTCACACCCATTCAATCCCTGAATGGCACAGATCAAGGAGATAACATCATTTAAAATTTAAATTTAAAATATAACCAGGTATTTTTTCCCTATGTTGCTCACATATATCTTTTCTTTGATGTACACTGAGAGCGTATGCACCAAGACAAATTCCTTGTGTCCAATCACACATGGCCAATAAAAAATTCTATTCTATTCTATTCTATTCTATATTAGCAAGCTCCTGATCAATTTTTCTTTGTTATGGTTGTAAGCGATCCAGCAAAAAAAGTTAATAAAAAATAAAAGAAATAAATAAAAGGAGAAACTTGGTTCCGGCAGTTGGCCAAAAAAGAAAAGATTTGTTTTTGCTTTTTTGTTTTACAGAATCTAGATTTTGCAACTCAAAAAAGCCTTATAAATACAGACAATGGCATGCTAGGATGTCAACTGTGATTGAGAGGAGGATAGATTAGTGATGATAGATGAGAGAGAGAGAGGAGAGAGATGATAGATAGATAGATGATGGATGGATAGATAGATGGATAGAGATTAAACAGATTAGAAGATAAATTGATTAGAGATAGACAGATTAGATGATAGCTAGCTAGCTAGCTAGCTAGATGATGGGTAGATGGATAGATAGATGGATGGATAGACAGACGGATAGATAGATGATAGGTAGACGGTAGATGATGGATGGATGGATAGATAGATAGATAGAGGATAAATAGATTAGAAGATAGATTGATTAGAGGATAGACAGATTAGATGATAGATAGATAGATAGATAGATAGATAGATAGATAGATAGATAGATGATGGGTAGATGGATGGGTAGATGGATAGATAGATGGATGGAGAGATGGACGGATAGACAGATGATAGGTAGATGGTAGTTGATGGATGGATGGATGGATAGATAGATAGATGGAAGATAAATGGATTAGAAGATAGATTGATTAGAGGATAGACAGATCAGATGATAGGTAGATGGATGGGTAGATGGATAGATAGATGAACGGATAGACGGACGGATAGACAGATGATGGTAGTTGATGGATGGATGGATAGATAGATAGATGGAAGATAAATGGATTAGAAGATAGATTGATTAGAGGATAGACAGATCAGATGATAGGTACATGGATGGGTAGATGGATAGATAGATGGACGGATAGACGGACGGATAGACAGATGATAGGTAGATGGTAGATGATGGGTGAATGGATGGATGGATAGATGATGGATGGATAGACAGACAGGCAGATGATAGATAGGTAGATGGTAGATGATGGATAGAATAGATAGATAGATAGATAGATAGATAGATAGATAGATAGATAGATAGAGGATAAACAGATTAGAAGATAGATTGATTAGAGGATAGACAGATTAGATTATAGATAGATAGATAGATAGATAGATAGATAGATAGATAGATAGATGATGGGTAGATGGATGGGTAGATGGATGGATAGATGGATAGATAGATAGATGGATGGATAGATGGATGGATAGACAGATGATGGTAGTTGATGGATGGATGGATAGATAGATAGATGTAGGATAAATGGATTAGAAGATAGATTGATTAGAGGATAGACAGATCAGATGATAGGTAGATGGATAGATAGACGGATAGACAGATGATAGGTAGATGGTAGATGATGGGTGGATGGATGGATAGACAGACAGACAGATGATAGATAGGTAGATGGTAGATGATGGATAGGATAGATAGATAGATAGAGATAGATAGATAGAGATTATAGATAGAGATATAGAGATAGAGATAGATAGACAGATAGATAGAGAGATTATAGAGAGATAGAGATAGATAGATAGATAGAGATTATAGATAGATAGAGATTATAGATAGATAGAGATAGATAGATAGAGATTATAGATAGAGATATAGAGATAGAGATAGAGATAGATAGACAGATAGATAGAGAGATTATAGAGAGATAGAGATAGATAGATAGATAGAGATTATAGATAGATAGAGATTATAGATAGATAGAGATAGATAGATAGAGATTATAGATAGAGATATAGAGATAGAGATAGAGATAGATAGACAGATAGATAGAGAGATTATAGAGAGATAGAGATAGATAGATAGATAGATAGAGATTATAGATAGATAGAGATTATAGATAGAGATAGATAGATAGATAGAGATTATAGATAGAGATATAGAGATAGAGATAGAGATAGATAGACAGATAGATAGAGAGATTATAGAGAGATAGAGATAGAGATAGATAGATAGATAGATAGAGATTATAGATAGAGATTATAGATAGATAGAGATAGATGGATGGATAGAGAGAGAGAGAGAGATACATAGATGAGAGGCAGAGACAGAGATAAAGCTTTCACTCAACCCCAAACAGCAAAGCCATCCATCTTACTCGCCAGGTTCCGTTCAGAAGTTGGCTAAGCAACAACCTCCAACACCTCCCGCTGCAAAAGCTCGACTTTTACGCGCGTTCGTGTCCAGGTGATGATGATGATGATGCCTGGGTTGCGAAAGGCGTCCCTGCACCCTCGTAGCTGGCAGCAGCTGGCAGAAACCGGGGGCAATCCCCTCCTCTCGCAACTTAGCTCAACTTTCCCTCCAGCAGCCACGAACCGGCTGCTCTTCTCGCCCCACCACTAGGGAAAAAAAACAAGACCGCCAACAAGACTTCGCAGCTTCCTCCCGGGGAGAAATCGGGAGCCCGAAGAAGCCGAGCGTCTCAGCAAAGGCAGCGGTGCGCGGCGAACCTCTTTTCCGGTTCTGATTCGAACTCTCTTCGGCGAGAGGATCCTTTCCTACGCCGCGGCGAGCGTTGCCACTCGGACGCCGATTGGGAATCTGAAGTATAACTACAGCCTACTCTAAATCGAACCGGAGCCTCTTGGTGGTGGTGAAGATATATACCCCCTCATCCTTCTGGTCTGGCTCTCTATGGTTTTAACCCTTGTCGCTGACATGGGAGGCCTCCCACTTTAGGATTTTTTCCCTTTTTTCCCCCCAAACTCTCTAAGCAGTTTGCAAAGGGTGATCATGGATTGGCTTCAGGGCAGCAACTTGGCTGTGATTTGCTTAATGGCCGCAGTAAAAATTTGGTCCAATCCCATGATGACTTGCTTAAAAACCACACAGAGACCAACCTTCTAATCCAGTGTTTCTCAACATTGGAAGCTTGAAGATGGGTGGACTTCAACTCCCAGAATCCCCCAGCCAGCAGCGCTGGCTGGGGGATTCTGGGAGTTGAAGTCCACCCATCTTCAAGCTACCAAGGTTGAGAAGCACGGTTCTAATCCCAATTGTGGTTATAAATCATAGACTATCTTTAAAGGTAAAAGTGTTCTGTCCCCGTCTCACACACGCACACAAACAGAGAGCCAGGGGTTAAATAAAACCGGCAGACAACAAATTCTTTCGATAAGAGGATTGGCAGCAACCCAGTAGCTGCTTGCCAAGAACTTTACTCATAGAGGGAGGGGTTGTCCCTCCGTCAGATAAACCCAAACAAGATACACACAGTTCAAGAATTGTCAAGTCCAGGCCGTATTAAATCCAAGGCAGATAACGTTGTTTCAAAGATACAATGTCACTCGCTAGTAGTTAGTTTTGTCCGTCACAGGGTCTGAATGGCCACCTCAATCCCTTTTATCTCCTGTGGGGTGTGGTCCAGTGATTCAGCTTAATCTCTGACATGCCTCCTTTTCTGCTGCGTGCGCTTGTCACTCTGACGCTGGTGTGGATCCAGCCAAGACTTATCTCCGTCACTGTCTGACTGCGAGGAGATACCTGGCTCCTGGCCAATTTCTTCTCCTTCAGGAGACACCTGAGGCATTGCCAGAGAGGAGGGTCCTGGAGAGGGAGGCCTGGCCAACTCCTCTCCTTCATGTTCGGAGCCTTCTCCCTCCGATAAGTCGGCCTCGGGGGTCGGAGTCACAACAAAAGGTAAAGGTTCTCCTCACACATGTGCTAGTCGTTCCTGACTCTAGGGGGCGGTGCTCATCTCTGTTTCAAAGCCGAAGAGCCAGCGCTGTCCGAAGACATCTCCGTGGTCATGTGGCCGGCATGACTCAACGCCAAAAGTGCACGGAATGCTGTGACCTTCCCACCAAAAGTGGGATCCCTATTTTTCTACTTGCATTTTTTTACGTGCTTTCGAACTGCTAGGTTGGCAGAAGCTGGGACAAGTAACGGGAGCTCACCCCGTTACGTGGCACCAGGGATTCGAACCACTGAACTGCCGACCTTTCGATCGACAAGCTCAGCATCTTAGCCACTAAGCCACCGTGTCCTATCTGTAGTTATCTCCTATTCACTTAACGACAATCTGGAGATTAATGCTTAGCACTATAATTGTCAATTGTTATTCCCTGTAAGTCTAAATAATCGTATTCTAGTTATGGTTTATTCCGCCTTTCTTCCCTCGGTAAGTAAAAGCCACAGTAGCTGGGAATTCCAGGTTTTTAAAGCCTGGTGTTGTCTGGCAACAGCTAGATCATAGAAAAATGCAAACGATATGAAGCTGCAAGGCAAATATATTTTATTTTATTGTTGAAAATTAGAAAAGCATTCAACCATGGAAAATTAGGGTTATTTACTGCCAGGTCAGTGCAATTTCCATTCCATTTTACATTTTGAATAGCGACAGTCAATCTGACAACATCAGAAAAGAGACTAAGAAGGAATCTCTCTCAGTGCAGCTGCATTTGTGAGCTTCCAATTAAAAGGTTCCCTTTCTCTTTTCCTCTTGCTTGCAATTATACAGAGACACATTAGGCCAGGGGTCCCCAAACTTGACAGCTATGCTGGCTGGAGAATTCTGGGAGTTGAAGTCCACAAGTCTTAAAGCTGCCAAGTTTGAAGACCTCTGCATTAGGCTGATCGATATGCTATTTCATTGTGCCAACAGCCTTTACAGAAGAATAGCGCATTAACAATCCTACTGCAACAATCCGATGCAATGCAATAGACAAGAGTATTATTTCAGACTCACACTTCCTAGGTACATCGTATTTCAAATCCATTGCATTGCATTTCTACAGCAGCAAGTTGCTAAACATACAAGCTTTTATTATTTGGGCCTATGGTTGTTCCAGGTGATAGGCAAGGCAGTCTTTTATCCCAGTTTCTTACTATGTATGTGACCCCACTTTTTGAGAACGTTTAGATCAGAAACTCCCATTATATTCAGCAGAATGTCCTCTAAGAAAACAAGCTGTGATGAAAGAAAGAATGGCTTAAAAGGGGGACATAGCAATGCAATCTTAAAACACACTGACGAAGAAATAGGTCTGGTTTAAGTGCTAAGAAGGTTGGGAGGGAAGGAGGGAGGGAGGGAGGGAGGGAGGTAGAAAGGAAGGATAAATAATTAGATATAGAAAGATAAACATTTTAACTTTTAACATTTTAATTCTTATATACTGTTTTATATTTTAATGCTCCTCTTTGAGAGAACTGGGCAGTTCAGAAATGCAAAATGTAAATAAATTAAAAACAAAAAGAGGAAAGAAGGAAAGAGGAAGAAAAAGGAAGAAAGGAATAAAGAAAGAGAGAAAGATTTTAACTTTCAACATTTTAATTGTTGTATACTGTTTTATATTTTGATGCCCCTTTTTGAAGGAACTTGGCAATTCAGAAATGTAAAATATAAATAATTAAAAATTAAAAAAAAGGAATGAGGGAAAGAGGGAAAGAGAAGGAAGGAAGGAAAAAGAAAGAAAGAAAGAAAGAAAGAAAGAAAGAAAGAAAGAAAGAAAGAAAGAAAGAAAGAAAGAAAGAAAGAAAGAAAGAAAGAAAAACTTCTGTCTTGGAAACTCCCAGAATTGTCTAACAACTGGCAAGGAACATCCTTGCTAGGAATTCTGGGTACTGTAGTTTCAAAACATCTGGATCTGGGCTGGGGAAGGCTTCTCCCATTTCAGCCTGCCCATAATGCCTCCTTCCTGCTGTATTGCTGGACATTTTTATTTTCTTTTTTAAAAATACAATGTCAAGGTGCAGCATCAAGTTCCATGACATCAGCTCCTGTCTGTCATCTCATTTTTCCATAAAACATTTCTGGGCAAATAAATGAAGATGTTACTACGCTGTGCCATTAGAAGCGCCTAGATGCTTTCTTTTTCTAATATATGTCGCTTTCTACAAACATTTTGAACATGTAAATCCTACTTTAATTTTTTTTTTTTTAAGCAATTTTGCATTTAAATGTGGTTCACAAACCAACTTAAGAGTTTACAACAGAGGTCTTCAAACTTGGCAGCTTTAAGACCGGTGGACTTCAACTCCCAGAATTCTTCAGCCAGCATAGCATAGCTGGCTAAAGAATTCTGGGAGCTGAAGTCCACCGGTCTTAAAGCTGCCAAGTTTGAAGTCCTCTGGTTTACACAACATCAAAAAGGTGTTGTTTCTTTTTATATGAAATCATCACCGGGCAGGGGGTTGAGCTAGAAGACCTCCAAGGTCCCTTCCAAACCTATGATTCTGTAACAAAAATTCATCTACGATTTTTTTTTTCTCCTAAGGCTGACCCAAGCTTGAAGTGCTACTTGCGCGCTCTCTAAAAAAATAGCATTGGGAGCATGAAAATGCTCCGTTTGACTTGTTTGTCTTTAAATTTAATTACAATCAAGTTTAGATAATAGCTGGACCATGCAGTTTGATTTAGGATTTGATCACTGAAAAACAAATTTGGAGCGCCAATGTGGCAACTGTCTACCAACCAGCTATGCCTTTTCTTGCAACAAGGCAGTTGCCTCCCAGCTGGCACTGGATCCTACGAAGACAAAAACAGCTTTACGCAATTACAGAGAACTGCTGTGTTCGTACTCTTATAAACACCTCCGACTTGGAATTCCCGCACAGCCCTTTTACAATGACTTTCTAGTAAAAGTTTTGACTTGCTTTCTTACTTTTGCCGTGTTTAAAAAAATAAATAAAAAATCCTGGGTAATAAAACTTGGGAGCTTGTTAATGACCACATCTAAGGCTTTTAAGAGATCAGGTTGTCTCGCCGGCCTTTCAAACTGGCCTGAGGTTCAAGAAAATGTTTTCCTATAGTTCAAAGAAGGTAAGCAGCTACTCTGTGGCGCTGTGAGTTTTCTCATGTTCACACAGTTCTGATTTTCGGCTGAAGTTTTTCCCGCAGTACGAGCAGCTGTTCTTGTGGATCAGTTCATGCAGCAAGAGGTGTGTCCTGGACATGAAGGATTTCCCACAGTGCAAACAATGGAAAGTGTCTTGCCCTCGATGGACCATCTGGTGCACTTTGAGAGAGGTGTAGGAGATGAACTTTTTCCCGCAGGCTGTGCAAATGTACAGTTTCTCTCCGGTGTGGGTTTTCTGGTGCTTGAGGCAGTCCGTCTGCCGAATGTAACATTTCCCGCACTCCGAACACATGAAGCATTTCTCTTGGTCGGCGCTCAGCTTCACTTTGGGAATCCAGCTAAAATTATTCCCACAGTGGGAGCAGATGTGGGAGAACTGCCCTGCGCGGATTCTCTTCTTCTCTCCACAGTGGGAGCAGATGTAGAGTTTCTCGGCCACATGGGTCCTCTCGTGGGTCAAGAGATCCGAGCTGCTGCCGAAGGTCTGGCTGCAATGCCAACACTTGTAACACTTCTCCTCCGGGTCAGGGTTCTCGCACGCATCGAGGTGGGGGCTTTGGCTGAGGCTGCCTGCATCGTACGACCCCTTCGTGTTGAGGAAGGGAGATTCAGTAGCAGCTTGGAAAAACCCTTGCGAGCCACCCGGCTCGTCTGTCTCAGCCTCGCTTTTGTTTCTGTCCTGCTGCTCTGCTCCATGTTGATTCTCGTCAGGTTTGCTTGGAGCCAGGAAGTAATTCTCTCTAGCCGTTTTCAGCGACGTCCTCTGTGGCTCAAGCCAACCATCGACTGTAGGGGGGAGGCAAAAAAATAAAAATAAAAATGAGACTAGCTAATAGTCAGAGTGTATTTTAAAGGTTAAAAAGCCTTGCATTACAAAAAGAGGACAATCCTTCATTATTCATGCTTCATTATTCGGGACTCCCTACGCAGTCACTCATGCCCTCGTCACCTCCCGTCTGGACTATTGTAACGCTCTCTACATGGGGCTCCCCTTGAGGTGCACTCGGAGGCTCCAACTGGCGCAGATTGCGGCCGCGCGGGTGGTTACGGGAGCGATGTGGAGTTCCCATGTAATACCTCTCCTGCGCGAGCTGCACTGGCTCCCGGTGGTCTTCCGGGTGCGCTTCAAGGTTTTGGTTATCACCTTTAAAGCGCTCCATGGCTTAGGACCTGGTTATCTACAGGACCGCCTGCTACTACCAATAGCCTCCTACCGGCCAGTACGCTCCCATAGAGAGGGGCTCCTCTGGGTGCCGTCGGCCAAACAATGTCGACTGGCGGCCACTAGGGAGAGAGCCTTCTCTGTGGGGGCACCTACGATCTGGAACGAGCTCCCCCCGGAGATACGGAGGATCCCGGATCTGCACACCTTCCGTCACGCGCTCAAGACTTTCTTATTTCATCAAGCTGGCCTGGCCTAAATCTTCTCCCCTTTTAAATGTAAATTTTAATTTGTTTTTAAATTATTGGGTATTTTAAATTTGTCTCAGCCAAATTATTTAATTCGTTTTTATTCTATTTTAAATTTTGTATCTATGTGTTTTATTTTGTGGCTGTTCACCACCCTGAGTCCTTCGGGAGTAGGGCGGTATAGAAATCCAATAAAATTAATTAATTAATTAATAAATTATTCATTATTTGGAAATAATATAACATATTTTCCTGTGAGGCTTCCGACTTTTTTTGGTAATGCCACCACAACAATCCTTTTTTTTTTTTTTTTTTTGGTAGGATACCCACTCTTACTTTCTCCATTTAACATTCTCTTTAGGGGGTGGCAACACTAGAAAGTTTAAGGGAAGAAGCTGGGACATAACCCGTCTTAAAGTTGCCCCAAGTAGAGAAACTTTGCTCTAGATCAGGGGTGTCAAACTTAGATTTGGCCCGTGGGGCTGCCCTGGAAACAGCGAGGGACCGGCCCGCAGTGCTTCTGCCAGCGAAAATGGACTCCCGACCTGAGCTCGGGTGCCATGGCCCTCTGCCAGTGAAAACAGAGCTCGGGAGGGCCGAGTCCATTTTCGCTGGCAGTCGGGCCACCACAGGCACCCCGACAGGTGTGACGTCAAGCTGGCCATGCCCCCTGGCCAGCCCCCCCCCCCGAGGTCAAACACAACCCTGATACAGCCCTCAATGAAATCGAGTTTGACACCCCTGCTCTAGATCAGTGGGCCCCGACCTTTTGGGGCATCAGGGACCAGTTCTGTGGAGAGAGGTTTTTCCGCGGACCGGAGGGGGGAGGTGGTCTCGCATGCTGCCTTCATCCCACAGATGGGGCTTCATGGTGGCAGCGTGGTCAGAAGGCAGTACTGCAGTACTACTTCCGCGGACTGCCGGCTGCCAGCAGTTCGAGTCTCGCCAGACTCAAGGTTGACTCAGCCTTCCATCCTTCTGAGGTCGGTAAAAATGAGGACCCAGATTGTTGTTGGAGGGCAATAGGCTGACTCTGTAAACCGCTTAGAGAGGGCTGTAAAGCACTGTGAAACGGTATGTAAATCTAAGTGTTATTGCTTGTTTGTGCAGCCCAGTTTCTGCTTTCTGTTCTGTCCCCGTCCCACACACACACACCAACAGATGTCCAAGAGTTAAAAATCAAACCAGCCAACAAAATCCTTATCCTTATGATAACAGAACTTGGCAGCAACCTAGTGGCTGCCTGCCAAGAGTTTATTACTCACGAAGGGAAGAGATAACTTCTCTCCGCTTCTGGTACATCAAAGTAAAATGTTCAATAATTACAGAGTAAATTAAGTCCAAATATAATCCAGCAAAGTCTATAGCAAAAGTCCGGCAATGCAGAATGGCGTGGAAGCTTTCAGCTTTGTTCGTCACAAGGCTTGACTGGCCACCACGCTTCCTTTTATACCCTGTGGGGTGTGGTCCAGTGACTCAGCCTAATCTCTGGCACGCCTTTTCTTCTGTTGCGCGCGTTTATCTCTGCGACGCTGGCGTGGATCCAGCCAAGACTCATTACTCTTATCACTTTCCACCTGTGGCTGCGTGGACGTGCTTGGCCCCGGCCCTATCTCTTGCCCTTCGGCAGACACCGAAGGCATTGCCAAAGAGGAGGGTCCTGGAGAGGGAGGCCTTGCCAACTCCTCTCCTTCACTCTTGGAGTCCTCTCCTACCGATGACACAGGCTCAGGTAACGGAGCCACAACAGTTTCGGTCCCCTGCACTGAAGGTGCCATTGTCAGCTGGTATCAGTTACTGGAGACGAGCAGCTTAAAGCTACCATGCACAAGAGTTCAAAGAAGCCCCTAATATTTGATCTGTCGGGCCCTCGAAGTGACTTACCCAGTGACTCTGCATCCCCTCCAGCTTCCTGCTTGGCTTCTCTAAAAAGTTGCGCCTTCACCATTTCCGACAGAGCTTGGTTTCCTTTGGGGGGCTTTTCAGATTCCTCCTCCGTCATCCCCATCATCTGGAGCAGCAAAGGGGAAACAGATGTTGAGGCAATGGGACAGGAAGGGGATAAACTCATTCATGGACTTATAATCGCAAAGTTATTTCAGAGGACTGTAGTTTAAAGCAGTGATGCTCAAGGAGCCTAGATAGCTCAGCAGACTAATGCATTGTAATTTAACTCCAGCTGTCTGCAATTACTGTAAGTTCGAATCTCACCAGGCTCAAGGTTGACTCAGCCTTCCATCCTTTCTAAGGTAGGTAAATTGAGGACCCAGTTTGTGGGGGCAATAAGCTGACTTTGTAAAAATATACAAAAGTATGAAGGCTATTGCTTAACGCATTGTAAGGCGCCCTGAGTCTCCGGAGAAGGGCGGCATATAAATCAAATTTAAAAAAAACAACAACAAACTGTGTTGTCCCCTTCTCAAATGAGCTGAGGTGGCGCAGTGGTTAGGGTGCAGTAGTGCAGCTATTTCAGCTGACTGCTAGTTCAGCAGGTCAGCAGATCAAATCTCACCGGCTCAAGGTTGACTCAGCCTTCATCCTTCCGAGGTGGGTAAAATGAGGACCCATATTGTTGGGGGCAATATGCTAATGCTAATGCTAATGCAATATGCTAATATGCAATATGCAATAATATAATAATAACTGTGTTTTAAGTTGTGTGGACTTCCAATTCCCAAAATCTCTAGCCAGCAGGGTATCTGGAGAATGCTGGGAATTGTAGTCCACTTCTCCTGGGTTGCCAAAAAGTTAAGAAACACTGGCTGAAAGGATTATTAAACACAAAACCTGCCTGGGGGGGGGGAAGCAGGAGGGGGTGGGAATAGGCTGTTTGCAGCTTCTTCCAGGGAGAGAGCATGGCAGGAATTTCAACATGGAGCTGGTTCTCTTCTTCACAGGTATGAGGTCACTTATTTCATTTTACTTTAGCCTGGTTTGCACTCTTATTCCATGAACTGGGGCTTAATGCAACATCTGAATCAAACCTCTAATTCAAAATCAAATCAGACTGATACAATCAACTTTAAAATAATAGGCAGTGGAAATCCTTGGCAGATACACCCAGGAAAAGTCCCCTCAAATATATATATAGTCTTAGCTAACCTAACCTTAACACTTTGATCCTGGAAGTATAGTGTGTATTTCTCTTTAGCCAGGTTCTTCCTACGTAAACCAAGATTTTTATGCAGCCCTAGTTCAGTGAAATCACAATCCACTAGCTTCTAGGCTTTTTTTCCTGGCAGCCAGCAAACACTCTGCTGCCCATTGGGAGACTAAGACTTATGGGCAACTCAGTAAAATTGGAATATATATATATATATATATATATATATATATATATATATATATATATATATATATATATATATATATATATATATGTGTGTGTGTGTGTGTGTGTGTGTGTGTGTGTGTGTGTGTGTGCGCGTGTGTGTGTGTGTGTGTTTTCTGAGGTTTTCGCGGGTGTTTGTATGTAGGTCTTTGGTTATTTGGGTTTTCTCCCGCATAAAATTGGAGGTGTCTTGGCAATGTTTCGACGAAGTCTCATTCGTCATCTTCAGGCTGGTGTTTTCGGCTTCAAGCATGAAGCTGAAAACACCAGCCTGAAGATGACGAATGAGACTTCGTCGAAACGTTGCCAAGACACCTCCAATTTTACGCGGGAGAAAACCCAAATAACCAAAGACCTACATACATACATATATATATATATATATATATATATATATATATATATATATATATATATATATACATATATACACACACACACACACACACACACACACACACACACACACACACACATATATTTGTACTATACTTCCAAGATCAGAAAGTTAAGGTTAGGTTAGCTAAGACTGCGGAGCACGTCATTCACACAGGAGATTTTGCGCCTCACCCCCTCAACAGTCTTTCAAGGTTGCCCTTACCCAGAAAGACTCACCTGCTTGCTCCAGCCTTTGACCTGCTGTCTCACAATGAACTTCTCTGCCAGGGACACGGCCTGTGCACAGGTCCTCGGAGTGTTTTCTCTCAGCCAGCTCTGCATATCCGAAGGCAGGATGGCCAAGAACTGCTCCAACGTCACCAAATCCAGGATCTGGTCCTTGGTGTGTTTCTCGGGCTTCAGCCACTCGTGGCAAAGTTCTTGGAGATGCCTGCAGAGTTTGCGAGGCCCTTCAGCCTCTTGGTAACAAAGCTCCCGGAACTGCTGGCGCTGTTTCTCCAACCTGGCCCCAGGTCCACTACTCACTGCTCCTTTTTGGTCCCTCCCTTCCTGAGAACTTTCATAATCCCGCTGGGCTTCAACGGCCAGGTGCGGCTGGGCCTGAGTCATCCAAACTCCTCTGGGACAGTTGCTGGCATCCCTCATCCCCTGAGAGAGCACCTGAGTGGCTTTAGGGTCATTCCAGGTCAGTGAAGGGCTTTCTCTGCCAGAATCAGGAGCCTGCAGCGTCTTCAGAAACTCTTGCAGTTGGGCATCCCAATTTCCTGATGGTCCTTCTTCTGGCTCTTGTTTCACCTGATGGATAAACTCCTGCTTAATCTTCCCAGTTTCTGGGAAATCTTCTCTTTTCCTTCCTTCTCCGGACTGAAGGCCTGAGGAAGACTGCGTTTCCATTTTTATTTCCGGATCGACATTTTCTTTTAGGAGACACTTGGTTGCCTCTGTTTTGTGTGCGACGGCCATTTCCTCCACAGAAACTAGCTTTATTTTATTTTTTCCTTTCTCTTTTTCAGCATCAATCCTTGAGGACCACTGCAGAAGTCTTTTTAGATCTTTCCGGTATCAACAGCCTGAAAGAATCATTCAACAAAACTGTTTGGAAGGAAAGCAGCAAAGCAGCAAAAATTTCTAATTGCCGTCTTTGAGATAACAGAATTTCCTCTTGCTACCTGCGCTGAAAAATAGAAAACGATTGGACTATAAATATTCCAACATTTGCAAGCAAATACATTAAAATACAAAGAGTATTGATGTAATTATTCAAGAATTGGAAGTAACTCTACTCTCCAAACCTTCTGGGGACCTCTTAATGAAGAGATGGTGCTCCTAGATGCCTTATATACTTGGAACTGGAAGGATTGGGGGATTGAGAGTGAAAAATCGAGTTCAGAGCTTTGCCTTCATTATACAGTATATCACAGAAGTGAGTACATCCCCTCACATTTTGTAAATATTTAAGTAGGCTGGTGACCCCCAGGGGGAGGGCCTTCTCTGTGGGGGCACCTACCCTCTGGAATCAGCTGCCCCCAGAGAGAAGGAGAATCCAAGACCCTGGTGCCTTCCACCGTCCCCTTAAAACCTTCTTTTTCCAGCAAGCCGGGCTGGCCTAACACTTTTTAAAATGTTTTTAATTGTTTGTTATTGTTTTTAATCATGGGGCCAAATTTATATATATCTTTTTAATTGTATTTTAAAGTTTGTAGTTTATGTTTTTACTTGGCTGTTCACCGTCCTGAATCCTCAAGGAGAAGGGCAGTATACAAATTAAAAAATAAAATAAAAAATAAAATAATAAGTATATCGTTTCATTTTACAACACTTTAGAAATGACACTTGGCTACATTGTAAAATAGTGAGTATACAGCTTGTATAAAAGTACAAGCACATGGTTATACTAATAAGTGGGAAGAGATAGATACTAGGAAGGAAGAGAAGAATAATAGTAATACAGTCTTAGTAAATAATTGGACGGTGTTATGGGAATTAGTTGTTTAGCAGAGTGATGGCGTTCGGGGAAAAAACTGTCCTTGTGTCTAGTTGTTCTGGTGTCCAGTGCCCTATAGTGTCGTTTTGAGGGTAGAAGGTGAAACAATTACACACAGAGATCATCTTAATTTCCTATCTGAAAAGTGTCTTTTTCCTTTTCCCAATCAGAGCCTCTCCCGGAGGCTCCAGTTGGTCCGGAATGCGGCCGCGCAGGGGATTATGGGAGCGACGGGGTGCTCCCATGTGACACCTCTCCTGCGCGAGCTGCACTGGCTTCCTGTGGTCTTCAGGGTGCGCTTCAAGGTGTTGGTGACCACCTTTAAAGCGCTCCATGGCTTAGGGCCGGGGTATTTACGAGACCGCCTTCTGCCGCCAATAGCCTCCCACCGGCCAGTACGCTCCCACAGAGAGGGCCTCCTCAGGGTGCCATCGGCCAGACAATGTCGGCTGGCGACCCCCAGGGGGAGAGCCTTCTCTGTGGGGGCACCTGCCCTCTGGAACGACCTACCCCCAGAGATACGCCCGATACCAGACCTCCGGACTTTTCGTCGGGCCCTGAAAACACATCTTTTTCACCTAGCCGGGCTGGCTTGATCCCATCCCTTCAGTTTTAATTTGTAATTGGTTTTAATTCGGGTTGTTTTAAATGGATAGCCAAAATTATTCAATGTTTTTTAAATTGCTTTTAAATTTTATATGTTATGTTTTACCATGGCTGTTCACCGCCCTGAGTCCTGTTGGAGAAGGGCGGTATACAAATTAAATAAATAAATAAATAAATAAATAAATAAATAAATAAATAAATAAATAAATAAATAAATAAATAAATAAATAAATAAACCAGTTGATTCATTATTTTATAGAGTTTGGAGGATCTAATAAAAGAGAATATTTGTAGCTCAGGGTTGACACGAGGGCTCCTTGCTGCTCTCTCAGCTTGCTTGCTTTCCTACTGACATTTTCATTACCCAAACTAGGTAACGTGATCAGGTAACATCACTAGCACTGATGACGTTACCTAGTTTCAGAACAGAATAGAGCTGGAAGGGACCTTGGAGGTCTTCTAGTCCAGCCCCTTGCTCAAGCAGGAGATCCTACACCATTTCAGGCAAGTGGCTGTCCAGTCTGTTCTTAAAAGCCTCAAGGCAAAGCTGTTCCACTGGTTAACTGTCCTCACCATTAGGAAGTTTCTCCACAACTCCAGGTTGCTTCTCTCCTTGATTAATTTCCATCTATTGTTTTTTTTTTTTTTTTTTTTTGTCCTGCTTTCTGGTGCTTTGGAAAATAATATTTTCCAAATATTAAAAATATTTTTTTAAAACCTATTAAAAATAACAGTTTGGGTAATGAAAGGTCTGTAAGAAAACAAGCAAGCTCAGAGAGCAACAAGGACCCCTTCAGTTTGGAGGATAATTGACAGCTAAGCTTCCCTCCCTTCCCATCCCTCCAGCAAACCTTGATTTGGTCTTCCAGATCAAGATAACAAAGCAGAAAAATCATCTGATAGCTGAACCTGTTTTCCTAAGATCCTGGGGCAGAATGATTTTTTTAAAAAAATGCTAATTTTCACCCGTTATGTCCCTGCATTTAAAAAAAAAAAGGCTTTTTATGGAAGAGAGATCTTGGGAAAACAAAAACAAAAAAAAGAAATATTCTCTGTCCAGATCTTTGAATTATGCATTATAGGTTGACCTTTTTTTTTTTTTGATCATGCTAAAAAGAGTTTGTCAGACCTGGCAAATTGGAAAACCCAAAACTGGAGATTAAAAATGTTTAGCCGAATTTAATGGATAGAATCAGTGGGAAAGGGCTTCCCTGAGTCTTCGGAGAGGGGCGGCATACAAATTGAATTAATAAATAAAAATAACTGCTCCTGTTGGGGATTTTACCAGGAATTTATAGTAAAGAAACTGTATATTACATGTTATTCATGCAATAACCACAGCTAGAATTGCATTTGCACAAAACCGGAAAAGCGAAGAGAATCCTATAGATGAAAAAGTGATTTAAGAAAATATTAGAATGTGCAGAAATGAACAGATTAACCATTTGCAATTCAAGAAAAGGAAGAATCAGATTATTATAATATAGGGGAGTCATTTTATCAATGGTTAAGAGAATAAATATGAAAGCAACGTATTGTAAAAAACAGATAAGTAAAGAAGGGAAATGTTAGGTTTATCAGTTATTTTATCATCATCATCATCATCATTATTATTATTATTTAGTATTAATATAAGAATGAATAATAATGTAATAAACTGTTAAATAAGAAAATGTTGGATAGAGGATTAAGCACTAAAGATTTGTAACCGATCAATACACTTTCTGTAATTGTAATGGCTGATAATTGTTTTAGGTTTTAAGTTTTGTTTAAAAATAAAAAAATGTTCCAAAAACAAAAAGAAGAGAAATGTTAGGTTTATCAGTTATTTTATCAGTATTATTATTATTATTATTTAGTATTAATATAAGAATGAATAATAATGTAATAAACTGTTAAATAAGAAAAAGTTGGATAGACGATTAAGCACTAAAGATTTGTAACCGATCAATACACTTTCTGTAATTGTAATGGATGATAATTGTTTTAGGTTTTAAGTTTTGTTTAAAAATAAAAAAATGTTCCAAAAACAAAAAGAAGAGAAATGTTAGGTTTATCAGTTATTTTATCAGTATTATTATTATTATTATTTAGTATTAATATAAGAATGAATAATAATGTAATAAACTGTTAAATAAGAAAAAGTTGGATAGACGATTAAGCACTAAAGATTTGTAACCGATCAATACACTTTCTGTAATTGTAATGGATGATAATTGTTTTAGGTTTTAAGTTTTGTTTAAAAATAAAAAAATGTTCCAAAAACAAAAAGAAGAGAAATGTTAGGTTTATCAGTTATTTTATCAGTATTATTATTATTATTATTTAGTATTAATATAAGAATGAATGTAAGAAATGAAGATGATGGTAAGTTTAATTGTTAAAGACACAAAGAATTTTACACCCAGATGACACGCTGTTTAATGAAAGATGGAATGTTTGTATTAAAAGTTAATAATAATAATAATAATAATAATAATAATGATGATGATGATGATGATGATGATGATGATGATGATGATGATGATGGTGGTGGTGGTGGTGGTGGTGGTGGTGGTGATGATGATGATGATGATGAATCGGTGGGAAAATAATAATAATTATTGTCTTGCCCAGAACCAGCCTTCAATAATAATAATAATAACAATAATAACAAAAATAATGATGATGATGATGATGATGAATCGGTGGGAAAATAATAATTATTATTATTGTCTTGCCCAGAACCGGCCTTCAACTTGGACGGTCGGCAAACAGAGGACAAACCCTCCCACTCTTATTTTCGTAGCCCAGACCTCTCGCAGACCGACTGCAACGGCCGTGGACGCGTGTAGCCGTTTCCCCACAACCCGCCGCCCCGCTTACTTTTACCTGCTCTTTCTTCTTCGGCCCTCCTTGGCAGCGAGTCGCGGGCTCAGCGGCAAACAGGAAGGAGCTTTCCTCGGCCATCTATGATGGCCCCTCTAGGAGTGTCAACTCTGTGTCATTAACTCTTTTTTTTTTTTTTTTGCCAAGGAGTCGCCGCTCGGGCTGAAACCGGCTAGCGGAAGTGTTTTTAGACCATGCTGAGCGAGGAATTCTGGGAGTTGAAGTCCACACGTCTTAAAGTGGCCAAGTTCGGGAAAACGCTGCTTTAAGAGGGATGGTTTTATTGCCATCGTTTGGTCCCCTCGCCAAGAATAGAATAGAGTAGGGTAGGGTAGGGTAGGGTAGGGTAGGGTAGGGTAGGATAGGATTAGAATAGAATAGAATAGAATAGAATAGAATAGAATAGAATAGAATAGAATAGAATAGAATAGAATAGAATAGAATAGAATAGAATAATAGATTTTTTTTTATTGGCCAAGTGTGATTGGACACACAAGGAATTTGTCTTGGTGCATATGCTCTCAGTGTACATAAAAGAAAAGATGATGTAAAAAAAAAAGATGTTGAGACTCTAGAAAGAGTGCAGAGAAGAGCAACAAAGATGATTGGGGGACTGGAGGCTAAAACAAATAAAGAACAATTGCTGGAATTGGGTGTGTCTTGTTCAATGAAAAGAAGGGCTAGGGATGACATGATAGCAGTATTCTGATATCTCAGGGGCTGCCACAAAGAAGAGGACATCAAGCTATTCTCCAAAGCACCTGAAGGCAGGACAAGAAACAAGGGATGGAAACTAATCAAGGAGAGAAGCAACCTAGAACTAAGGAGAAATTTCCTGAGAATTAGAAAAATTAATCAATGGAACAACTTGCCTCCAAAAGTTGTAAACGCTCCAACACTGGAAGTTTTTAAGAAGATGTTGGATAGCCATTTGTCTGTAGTGTTGTAGGGTTTCCTGCCTAAGCAGGGGGTTGGACTAGAAGACCTCCAAGGTCCCTTCCAACTATCTATTCCTATTCCTATTCTAGAACCAGACCAGAACTGCAGAAGGCATTCTTGACTATTTTTATAATTCCTATATTTCTATACCTTATCTGTTGTGTGCCAGTTTCCTGTTATGTTAATAAGTAAAAGCAAAGAAATGTATACATATCTGCCTCACGCTGTGTTCATGGTTCCTTCCTTCTTAGGAAGGACCCGTCTTTATTCAGCTGAATAAATGTGTTGGCTTATCAACGCACACACCTGGACTGTTTTTTATTTTACCAAGCTACACCTGTCAATCTGCAAAACACAGTTGAACAAGTACAGTAGTCCTATCCTAAATACAGGTAGTCCTCAACTTACAATCATTCATTTAGTGACCATGCGAACTTAGAACAGCACTGAAGAAAGTGACTTATGACTTTTTCACATCTACGATTGTTGCAGCATCCCCATGCTCTCATGAACAAAATTTGGAGGTTTGGCAACTGACTCATATTTCTGACGGTTGCCATGCCCCAGGGTCATGTCATTCCCCTTTTGCAATCTTCTGACAAGCAAAGTCAATGGGGAAGCCAGATTCATTTAACAACCGTGTTACTAATCTAACAACCGCAGTGATTCACTTAACAACTGTGGCAAGAAAGGTCATAATGGGGTAAAACTCACCTAACAGCTGTCTTGCTTAGCCACAGAAATTTTGGGATCAATTGTGGTTGTAGATCGAAGACTACTTGTACTATCTGTAAGTCCTCAACTTACAACAGTTCACTTAGTAACTGTTCAAAGTTAAAACGACCCTGAAAAAATTGAGTTATGACCAGTGGTGAAATGTAAAATTTGTTATTACCGGTTCTGTGGGCGTGGCCTGGTGGTGGTGGTGGTAATGTGACTGGGTGGGCATGGCCAACATTTTTTTTTTTTTTACTTTTAAAAGCATTTTTTCTACAACTTTAAGAGGTTGCAGAAAAAAATGCTTTTAAAAGCCTTTGACGATCCCAGCTGAGCCGCGCGATCATCAGAGGCTTTTTTTTTTTTTACTTTTAAAAGCATTTTTTCATCCGAAGAGGTTGTAGAAAAAATGCTTTTAAAAGTAAAAAAAAAAAAAAAAGCCTCTGATGATCGTGCGGCTCAGCTGGGCATGGGGGTGGGGGTGGGGGGCAGGGATTTTTGCTACCGGTTCTCCGAACCACCCGCCTCCATCACTACCGGATCAGGCGATCCGGTCCGAACAGGGAGCATTTCACCCCTGGTTATGACCTTTTCTTACACTTACAGCCTTAGAAGCATTCCCATGGTCATTTGAACAAAATTCAGACGCTTGGCAACTGGTTCATATTTATGACCACTGCTGGATCCCAAGGTCATGCAGTCCTCTTTTCTGACCTGCTGATGAGCAAAGTTAATGGGGAAGCTAGATTCACTGAAACCACCGTGTTACTAACTTAAGAACTGCGGTGGTTCACTTAACAACTGTGGCACAAAAAGTTGTAAAATGGGGGAAAAAAACATTTAACAAATGTTTCACTTAGCACCAAAAGTTTTGGCCTCCATTTGTGGTCGTTAGTCGCGGACTACCTGCTTTGCGTAGCCTTTGGTACCCTGGTACGCCCACAAACTCAGGGACATTGCTGGGAAGGGTTAATGCAATAGAGTTGTAGAGCCTTAGAGAGGCGCAAGCTTGAAAATTCCGTTCTGTCTTGCCTGGCCTGGGAATCATTTTGTAAGTTATTTTGTAAGTGGGGAGAGATTAGTGAATTTGCAAACCTTTAAGGAGTGCCATGCAAAAAAAAAAAAAAAAAAATTGGTCCTTTTAAAAAAGCCGCATGGAGGAAGGGCTACGGCGGTGGGCCAGATAATGTTTTCAAAGGCCTTTTTATTGCCATCTCCTATAAGAAACCTGGGTGAAAGGAGATGCTTTACTTAGGTCTGTTTGCATCCTGAAAGGGCCATGGATTTAATGTTTTCTTTCTAGATCTTTAGGGGGGGGGGGCGAAGAGGAGAATTTTGTGCCTGAATTGCCAAAATTTATGTTCCCTCTGCATCTCAGCCAAGTGGTGTGTGTGTATTTCAGAGGTCTTCAAACTTGGCAGCTTGAAGACTTGTGGACTTCAACTCCCAGAATTCTCCAGCCAAACTGGCTGGAGAATTCTGGGAGTTGAAGTCCACAAGTCTTCAAGCTGCCAAGTTTGAAGACCTCTGGGTATTGGATCCTATTTCTTCTATGTCAGCTAGTGCAATTGTTTGGGTAGGGTGTCTTGTTTTAAACGTTGCAGTTTTGTCCCTTAGGGTGCACCGTTAGCAATCCCAGCAAGTTTTTTTTTTTTTTGTACAATGTCCTCACAACTGGATAGTCTTGATGTGAGACATGTGTACACCGCATGGACGATCGTTTGCAAATGCATCAGATGCAAATTAGTGGGAAGGCCATGGCTTGTGCTTTAACAGAGGGCGACCTGCACAAAAATAGAATGTGAAGCTTCCTGGTGGTTTAATGTAATCTGCGTCTATGGGTTGCAATTTAATTACACTTAGATTTCAGGCTTTTGCAGGTGGTTGCTTGACTGGGTTTTGTGCTCTCCCTAAACCATTTTATGTGGTTTGTTTGCTTAGTATGAGGTATGAATGCTCCATGAGGATTTAGTGTTACATGTGAATCAGTCCAATAAGTCTTACCTGCTGTTAGGTGACAATATAACTTAGGTCAGGAATGACTATCATCACTATGATTGATGAGAAAGAATAGAATAGAATAGAATAGAATAGAATAGAATAGAATAGAATAGAATAGAATAGAATAGAATAGAATAGAATAGAATAGAACTTTATTGTCACTTTAAACTTACACTAATCAGGATACATTAAAGTGAAATTTCATTGCATTTCAGCTCTCAAAGGATTATCATTATGCATATATCCACATACACACACATATATGACACAGAGAAACATCACAGTTTAGTTCGAATGTACACGTATACATGTCCTGTAAATCCTGAGAATTTACAGGACGGATGGCATAAGGTGTTCCAGAATCTAGTAGTTCTGCTATAAATACCGTGTTTTCCCGAAAATAAGACCCTGTCTTATATTTTTTTGAACCCCGAAAGAAGCACTTGGCCTTATTTTCGGGGAGGTCTTATTATTTTGGGGCATGTGGAGCAAGATGGGGCTCCTCTTGCTGTCTTACCTGATTTGCAGCTCTGCATTTAAATATTTTCGGGGAGGGCTTATTTTCAGGGGGAGGCTTATTTTAGCGCATGTGCTCAAAAGCCCGATTGGGCTTATTATCAGGAGATGTCTTATTTTCAGGGAAACAAGCTCCATAGCTGGGTAATTCGTAAAAATTGAAGAGTAAAATGAGGGTGTGTCTGCTGGGATCATTGTTGTATGAATGAGAAGTTTGGTTCATTGGAATAAACTCAGTACTCTCCATCTCCTTTTCAGCCTACTTAGTAAACTCTGCCTTTGTAAAAAGGCTCCCAGAAAAACAGAGCTTTGGTTCCAATGTCTTTTCTCTCTTATTTTCTGTCTTAGTACTTTCCCTTCTCCGTGGAAAGCTCTTGTGCCATTTTCAAGAAGGTGGAAGATGCTGATTTGTTGATCGGCGAATACGTTTCATTGAATGCGTCAAATCTGTTGCATAATGCTGCAGTAGCCTTCGAGGGATGCTGCTAATAAAGACAACAATAGAACAGGCCAGTCCTCGAAGGAGAAAATGTTTACTGTGCAAGAGGTAGAGGTGTCCGAGTTTCTGCTACATCATAATATGGATCCTGAAATGAAAACGGAAGAACAGGACTCCATTGACCCCAAAGCAGGAAAGGAAAGAACACATTTTCTAAACATTGGAAAAAGCAAGGAAGAACCAAGGCATAATGTGAAAGCAGAGCTAGAGGAAAATCCATCAAAGAACTGGGATGCCCAGTTGCAAGAGTTTCTGAAGACACTGGAGGATCCCCAGGGAAGAAGGGAAGTTCCACAGTGCCTTGAGCCAAAGCTCTGGACCGGTCCTAAATTATCTTGGATGTCCTCCCAAGGAGGGATGGATACCAGCAAATGGTTGAAAGAAATGTGGATTTCCGAGGCTCATCGTTTTGGGACAACCCAAGAGGATTGGGACACCTTTCTGGACGTTGCCCATGGTGGGAAGGAGAAGATTGGAGAACTGGCTGAAGAAGCCATCAGGGCAGAGACAAGATGCCATCGCTTTTGGACCCTGAGCTACAAAGAGGCCAAGGGACCTCAAGATTTTTGCCAGCAGCTTCAAGAGCTTTGTCACAAGTGGTTGAAACCAGAGAAACACACCAAGGAGCAGATCCTAGACTTAGTGACCTTGGAGCAGTTTCTGTCTGCCTTGCCTCTGGATATACAAAATTGGCTCAGGAGAAATGGCCCAGAAACTTGTTTTCATGCAGTGTCCTTGGCAGAGGAGTTCCTCTTGAAGAGAGAGGAGACCCAGACATGGGAACAGCAGGTGAGTATATTTGCAACTTGGAACATTGATATTTTGGTGTTTATAACCACACAATATAAATTAGGTACTCCCAAATCTTGATTAAAAATACATGCCTGCTCACCAGCATTTTTTATCTGTTATGCTACAGTTCCTTTCCTTCCTGGAAAGCCAGTTTGGTGCAATGGTTGATGCACCAGGCTTTCCACAAATTGGAAGACTGTGGAATCTAGTCCTGCCACACTTTTCATCAAACTAGACATACCCAATTCCATTAACCATTCTTCATATGTTTGTTTATTTATTAGTTCGATTTATAAGCCGCCCTTCTCCAGAGACTCAGGGCGGCTTACAATGCATTAAGCAATAACCTTCATACTTTTGTATATACCTGCTTAGTAGGGCTTGTTTTTGCCTCCACACACCCTGTTTTCGGGCCTTTTTTCAGGCCTTTTTTTGGCCCATTTTTGAGGCTTTTTTCAGCCTGTTTTTGAAGCATTTTGGGCCCTTTTTGAGGCTTTTTTCGGCCCATTTTTGAGGCTTTTTCAGTCCATTTTTCCGGCTTTTTTCAGCCCGTTTTTCCAGCTTTTTTCGGCCTTTTTTTGAGCCTCGAAAATGGCCCCCCAAAAGCCTTGAAAACGGGCCAAAACAGCCCCAAAAAGCCTCAAAAATGGGCCAAAAAAGCCCCTAAAATGGGCTGCAAAAGCCTTGAAAATAGGAAGCAAAAAGCCTTGAAAACGAGCTGAAAAAAGCCCCGAAAATGGGCCGAAAAAAGCCCCGGAAAAGGCCGAAAAAAGACTGGAAAAGGCCCAAATAAAGGTAGGCCAAAAACTTTTGGTTGTTGTTTTCCTCTTCTAAATTTAGGTGCGTCTTATAGTCAGGTGCATCTTATAGTCTGAAAAATATGGTAAGTCACAAGGCTAGGAACCAGGAGTTCTAGTTCCCACCTTAGCTAGGAAAGCCAGCTGAGTGATTTGGGGGCCAATCACTCTCTCTTAGCCTAACCCACCCTCACAGGGTTGTTGTTGTGGAAACAACAGGAGGAGGAAGGTATGTTGGATATGTTCACCACCTTGAGTTATTTTCTAAAAATAACAATGGTAGGATACAAATAAAGAAACAACTGCTTAGTCACCCATTGCACTTTTTAACTTCATCATGAATTCATTTGGAACTGTGAATTTCCCACTTTTCCAGGTGATAGAGATATCGGAAGAAGAAGAAGACATTGTAAAAGCCTCCAAGTCAAGCCAGCTTCCATCAGAACCACCAAAGGACGAAGATTTTGGAATGGTTAAACCAAAATGTGACAGCAGCAAAAACCGGAGTAAGTTCCTGAGACTTGGCTAGCACATAAATTGAATAATAAATAAATAACTCTATTTTGTTTCCTGGCTGTTTGAGATATATAATTCAGGCTCTTTCCTGAATTGCAAGAAAACACAACGAAGAGCAAATACTTGCTACGTATGCAATACATTTATGAATTTATTTGCTAAACTCGTCTGCCTTCAAATCTAAGTTGACTCATGTCAACAGTTAAAACATCTTTGGTGTAACATAATAAACCATCAAAGATCCCAATAAACAGTGTAATTCTAAAATATCCCTAAGCTCAGTACACAGAGGAGCCTGGTGGAGCAGTGGACTAAAGCGTTGTTAAATAGCACTTAGCTGCCAGCTGCCTGCAATTACTGCAAGTTCAAATCTCACCAGGCTCAAGGTTGACTCAGCCTTCCATCCTTTCGAGGTAGGTAAAATGAGGACCCGGATTGTGGGGGCAATAAGTTGACTTTGTATAAAAAAGAACACCGCTTAGAGGGGGCCAAAAGCCCTACTAAGCAGGTATATACAAAAGTATGAAGGCTTTTGCTTAACGCATTGTAAGCCACCCTGAGTCTCCGGAGAAGGGTGGCATATAAATCGAACCAATAAATAAATAAATATCCACATAAATACTAATACAATAATTAAATTACTACCAATAATATATTGGTATATATAAACATTCTGTTTATCTTCCGGATTTTCATTCAAGGACTATATGGAGATGCCTCCAAGATAGCTTGACAGCTTGACAATGAGCGATAGAAATCCAGTGATTTTCATCCCATAGGGCAGGGGTCTCCAACCTTGGCAACTTTACGACATGTGGACCTCAACGCTGCTGAGGAATTCTGGGAGTTGAAGTCCATAAGTCTCAAAGTTGCCAAGGTTAGAGACTCTTGCCATAGTGGACACTTGAACCTTCCCTCCCAGTACTTCAATCCAAATATCAACCCATCAAGTCTTTTCTGCACAACCATGAATGTTTTTGGTGCCTGGCTACTGACTGAAGTCTATAGTCTCCACTCTTCCTACCGTAATTCAGGGTGAAAGGTTGAATCCTATGATGGCACAGGAAAAATACAGCCTGACTTATCAGAGAGATGGGCGGTTAAGATGATATATTAGGTTACCTGTTTTGTGAAGATACTAAATTCTTGGGCCTGGTGGCTCAGCAGACTGATAGCATTGTGATTAACATCACCTGTCTGCAATTACTGTAAATTCGAATCTCACCAGGCTCAAGGTTGACTCAGCCTTCCATCCTTTCTAAGGTAGGTAAATTGAGGACCCAGTTTGTGGGGGCAATAAGCTGACTTTGTATAAATATACAAAAGTATGAAGGCTATTGCTTAACGCATTGTAAGCCGCCCTGAGTCTCCGGAGAAGGGCGGCATATAAATCAAATTTTTTAAAAAAACAAAAAAAACCCAAATAAATTATAAAAGGAGACATGCTATATAAATGGTGGTTGAACAAGACAGCAGGTCAACACAATACTTTCCAGTTAATGTCCAGTTTCCTTCCTTTCTTTTAGCACGTCTTGAGTGGCTGAATGAAGATGGTGAACCAAAGTTGAAGAATTCTGAAAAAAGGAAGCCTCTGAGGATGTTCTTGAAAGCTGCCATCAAAACTGATTTGCTGGCTTTCAAAGAGAACGATGGAAACCGCGACCCAGCAACGAAGCAGAATGGAAGTGATGTTGGAAAGGGAGTGGGTCAGTTAGTTCAGCCCCAAAGTGTTTGCCCAGGGCTCAGTGATCCTGCTGTTCAAGAGGAAAATGAGATAAATAATAACAGGAGTCAAAGCTTGAAGATAATGAGAGCTGAAAGCCCTGATTCAGAAGAGAAGTCGTTCCACTGTTGGCATTGTGGCCAAAGCTTCAGAAACAGTTCACACCTGGTGACCCACGAAAGGACTCACGTTGGCGAGAAACTGTACAAATGCTCCCACTGTGGAGAAAGTGAGAGGACCCACACAGGTCAGAGGCCCCACAAATGTTCTCACTGTGGGTGTATTTTTGGCTATCACGCTCGCAAGAGGATCTCCATGGGGGAGAAGCCCTATGTGTGTTCTGACTGTGGGAAAAGTTATAGTCAGAAATCTGATCTTTTAAAACACCAGAGAACCCACACAGGCGAGAAACCTTACAAATGTTCTGCCTGTGGCAAAACTTTACGAAATGGGTCAAGTCTCAAAGCGCACCAGAGAATCCACACTGGTGAGAAACCGTACAAGTGTTTGTACTGTGGGAAGTGTTTCATCTGGAGTTCGCAATTCCGGTTGCACGAGAGAATTCACACAACTGTATGCTCCCACTGCGGAAAAAGTTTTGGTCGGAAATCGGAGCTGGTGGAACACGAGAAGACTCATCTAGTGGAAGATTCGTTGGTGTGTTTTGCCTGCGGGAAAGTCTTTGAACTCAGCTTTGAGCTCATGGCACACGTGCAGACTCACAAAAAGAAGCCGTTTGAGTGCTTGGCCTGCGGGAAAACTTTTATGAACAGTTTGCAACGCGCTGCGCATCAGAAGGTCCACACAGGAGAGAAGCTGCATAAGTGTTCCCATTGTGGGAAAAGCTTTAGTCGGAGACAGAACCTGAAAGCTCATGAGAGAATCCACACTGGAGAAAAGCCACACATGCGCTTAGTGTGTGGGAAAAACTTCCGGAACACCCCGAATCTCAAATCCCACGAGAGGACTCACATGGGAGAGAAACCGTACCGTTGCTCCCATTGTGATAAAAGTTTCCGGTGGAGTTCACAACTCCTGTTGCATAAGACGATTCACACAGGAGAGAAACCCTACCCATGTTCTGATTGCGGGAAAACATTTGACAGGAAGTCCAAGCTTCTGAGGCACGTGAGAATCCACACAGGGCAGAGGCCTTATGTGTGTTCGGACTGTGGGAAAAGTTTCATCTCCAGCTCAGTCCTTTTGCGACATCAGAAAGTCCACGTGGGAGAAGATGTTGCAAAGTGCTTAGAATGCGGGAAAGATTTCGGACAGCGTGGGGACCAGGCAGAAAAGATGTCAAAATGTCCTGGGTGCATCCAGGGACCATCCCTGAGTTTGGATCTTGAACGTGGACAAATGCAGCCGAAAGAGAAGACATTTGAATGCTCGCTCTGCAGAAAAACTTTCAAAAACAGCTCTTACCTTATGTTTCATCAGAGTGTCCATACCAAGGTTCGACCAAGACAGTGCCTGGAGTGTGGGCGAGACATAATCAGGAGGCCTAACCTCATTGCCCCTTTGAAAAATCTCTCTGGGCAAACCCCACAGAAATGCTCAGAATGTGAAAAACTGTTGAACTAGATCTTGGAGGAAAATGTTGACCTCAATCTACTTCTCTACTCATCTCCTTCATCTACTCATCTCCTAAACATTATACTTTTTGTCCCTTGTGTCAGAAGATATTTATGGGGGCTGTTTGTACGTCAGTCGAAAAAAGTCCGGACAGCCATGGCCATAGTGACTGTTTGACGCTACAGCCTACCTGAAGATGATCAGAAATTTGTACCCCACCATGATCACATGACTGTACTTTGGAGGTTAGGCAACAAGGACAGATTTGCAGCGATTTGCTGTGTCCTGTGGTCATGTGACTGTTTTACAATGGTTTTGTCGGAAACTGGCACTTCTGGTTTTCACCAAAACTGCATTTATAATTATATTCACACTTATGACTGTTGTGTCTGCTTTAACAACCGGCGTTCACACCATCACTGAATGACTGCCACACATTATTTAAAAAAAAAACCCAAACCATTATTATTTAAGCAGTATTTGCTTAAAAACTGCGGCATTTGCTTAACAACCAACACAAAAAATGTCATAAGACCTGGTCTGGTCATGTGGTGACCTGATTAACAGCCACAGTAACTTATCATCATAATTCAAGGCTTAATTACAATCATAAGTTGAGCACTGCCTATAGTCATTGGTTCTAATTCTTTGGTTTTATTCTTTGGTTTTATTATTTAAGAAAATCAATGACTTGATTTTCTTCAGATTTTTCACATTTCATTTTCTCTCTGTTGAACTTTGTTTTCTTTCCACTTTTTTCTTAATGCTTTTTTAATTAATCAGCTTGGTTTATCTGCTGGTCTGTTTCTGAAGACTCCAAACAGCTTATTTTGGTTTCTGCAGCTTGATGGTTTTCCTTCCTGTGCCAGTTTCAACTCAGTTGCTGAGTTGTCACCTTTCACAGCTTTTGTGTGGTCTCTTTGATCATAGTTCTATAAAGTTCTATAGGAGCCTGAGTGGCGTAGGAGGCTAATGCTACTAAGGCAGCATTTAACATCCAGCTGCCTGCAATTACTGCAAGTTCAATTCTCACCAGGTTCAAGGTCGATTCAGCCTTCCATCCTTTCTAAGGTAGGTAAATTGAGGACCCAGTTGTGGGGGCAATAAACTGACTTTGTAAAAATATACAAAAGTATGAAGGCTATTGCTTAACGCACTGTAAGCCGCCCTGAGTCTCCGGAGAAGGGCGGCATATAAATCAAAATAAAATTTAAAAAAAATAAAAATCCATAGAAGACAAGCGTATTTATAATTACATGAACAAAGGGATCTTCACAAAAGATGTAGCTAAGGCTATTTGATATCCAAGCCTATAAAAGCATTGGAATTTTATTCCCGTATTATTGCTTTCTCTGTTTTTTAAAGACAAGATTAAAGTTCGTTGCTGTTTTCATTTTTCTTTTGTGAAAACAACTACTTTTGCTGTTGTTCTGTAGTCTGCTATTGACGCTTGGAAAAATTATTTGAAATGTCACAAAGTGCAGCTTTTTCAATCTTTAGTAACTGCCTATCTGGGTGTTATGGAGTGGTTTTATGATGTACTACATTTAAACTACACTCTCAACCGGGTATGGTCAAGTGTGGTGCAAAAGACCCCATATGAGGTAATGTATGGCCATAAGCCAAAATTAACACATCTCCATGTATTTGGAGTGATGGCTGATGTCCACATCCCCAAAGAACTAAGAAAGAAGGGGGATAAAGTCTCAATTAAATTAAGGTTCATTGGCTACGAACCTGGATCTAAAGCTTTTAGGTTTGTGGATTCAAACAGAAAAATTGTGATATCAAGGTCAGCTAATTTTCACGAGAGTACAAATTGGAGCAGGATTCATGCCAACAAGATTCTGAATACCAGTAGTAATCATAATTTGAAAAAACAGATAATAGATGTGGCAGAAAATCCATCTAGTGATGGTGAAACATCTGGATCTGAGGATGAGGGAGAGCACATGCCCTCCAGACCTTTAAAAGGAATACTAAAGAAAAATAAGGGAGTAGCCTGGACAAAGGGGCAATCCACTCTAAAAGTTAAGAGTAGCAGTGATGAGGAGGACAGCTCATCAGATAGCTATGATACAGATGAGGAAACAATTAAAAAGCCAATTCGATCCAATAGGGGAAATAAGTCCAAGAGATACAAAGATTATGTTGACCTCTGTTAATCAAATATCGATATCACCTCAAAGATATGAGGATGTGTTAAAGCTACCTAAAAAAGAGCAGGAGAATTGGTGTACTGCAATGAATAAAGAATTGGAAAGTCTAAAGAAATTAGAGGTATTCACACCCACGAAATTACCAAAAGGTAAAAAGGTAATTGGCACTAGATGGGTCTTCAAGAAGAAGCCAGTTGAAAAAGGTCAATTTATTTATAAGACAAGGTTGGTTGCACAGGGTTTTCTCACAGAGATTCCCTGATGACTACGTTGATACCTTCTCGCCTACAGTGCATCCTGAGAGCGTTAAGACTGCACTCACCATAGCTGCCATAAAAGGGGAGAGTGTATACCAGTTTGATATACAAACTGCGTATTTACACGCTAAATTAGACAAAGAATTATATGTCAAAGCTCCTCAGGGTGTAGATCATAAGGAAGGTGATGTTTGGCTCTTAAATAAAAGCCACTATGGTCTCAAACAATCGGGCAGGAGGTGGTACGAATGTCTTACCAAATGTCTAAGGCAGATGGGTTTTTCTGCATTATCGGCTGATGAATGTGTGTTCATCAGAAGTCACCAGGGCACCAAAGAAACCGTTTTGGTTTATGTAGACGACATTTTGTACGTCTGCAAATCAGAGAGCAGATGTAAAATATTCTCTGATGAATTAGGCAATAATTTTGCCCTAAAGCCTCTAGGCTGAATTGACAAATTTTGGGGGGGTTCAATTCGTAAAGACTGAGAAGAGGTTTAAGCTTTCTCAGCGGGATAAAATTTTAGAATTAATTGAAAGATGCAAAATGGCAGAGGCCAAGCCATGTGACACTCCCATGCAAACGGACTTTCTTAAAAATATGTATACTGAAAGTGTATAATTTGAACAGAAGACATTCTACAAATCTGTAATAGGTTCACTATTGTACATTGCCGGATCGACAAGACCAGATATTAGTCTAGCTGTCAATGTCTTGTCCAGGCATTCTGAAAATCCCACCCAATTTCATTGGAATGAGATCAAGAGGGTTCTCAGGTATCTGAAAAGTACTACAAATTATTCACTTCTTTTAGAACCTTATGTATCAGAAAAACCTAATTTATATTGTTATTCAGATGCAGATTGGGCAGGGGACATCAAGTCCAGGAAGAGTACTTCGGGGTATGTAATATTACTGATATGGAAGCCCTGTCCACTGGTATTCAGGGAAACAGAAGTTGATTGCCACTTCTACTGCTGAGGCAGAATATGTATGTCTATCCAAGGCTTCAAACAATTTAGTCTGGTTTGATGACCTTTTAATGAATCTGTGGGAAGAATCTGTGTATCCTGTAAGAATTCACGAGGATAATATGGCAGCAATCAACATATCAAAGGCTGACGCTGTGGGGCAAAGGTCACGCCATATTGATATAAAATACAAACATGTAAGACAGCTATCAAAAATGGATTTTATTGAAACTACCTTTTGTGAGACTAAAGAACAGATAGCAGATATACTCACTAAACCATTGCCCCGGGAACAACACCAATACCTCTTAGGCAGGGGTGGGTTCTAATTTTTTTTACTACCGGTTCTGTGGGTGTGGCTTATTTTGTGGGTGTGGCTTGGTGGTCATGTGACTAGGTGGGCGAGGCTAGCTGGTCAGAGTCATTTCTGGAAGGTCCTCGCACTTACGACCAGTCCTCGCACTTACGACCCGACTCATTTGTTTGCTTTTAACACTGATCAGCTGTAGGACGGCCCTTTGAAGCCCCGCGGCAAGAGTTTAAACAGGTTTTTTCCCTCTAGTCATCAGCTGGGACTCAGGAGGCAGCAATAGATTGGGGGTGGGACCAAATAAAAGGTAAGAATAACGTGGGGGGCTGGGAGGGCGGGGGGGAGAACCGGTTCAGTGATGTCATATCGTCATCGCTACCGGCTCAGCCGAACCGGACCGAACCAGGAGGAACCCACCACTGCTCTTAGGTAAAATACATTTAGTAATATAAAGAATGTATTTTTGTATGGTATATTGTATGTGACGGATGTATAATTGGCATCAATAGACACAGAGAAGGGGATTGTGAGAGAAACGTTATTTCCCAATCGCTGTGCCTATTAATGGCTTTTGGAATAGACAAGTGGGTGAGCCAATCAGAAGGCAGCTGATGGGTTTGAATCTCCAGGGCTCTTAGGTTCCCTCCCCTAACTGTCACAGTTGACAGTATAAAAGGAGAGTCTTGACAGAAAACCATTGGCAGTTCGGAGAGTTCTGTTCAGCTCTTCTGTTAGAAAACTGTGGGCAGTTTGGAAGTCAGTTAGAAGGGCAGTTCTGATGCAGTTCTGATGGTTTACAAGACTATTTCTTCTGAGGAAGAATAGCCAGAACTAACATCGCTTAGAGCGATTACATATACATATACATATACATATACATATACATATACATATACATATACATATACATATACATATACATATACATATACATACATACATACATACATACATACATACATACATATATATATATATATATATATATATATATATATATATATATGTTTTCTCAGGTTTTCGCGGGTGTTTGTATGTAGGTCTTTGGTTATTCGGGTCTTCTCCCACGTAAAATTGGAAGTGTCTTGGCGACGTTTCGACGAAGTCTCATTCGTCATCTTCAGGCTGGTGTTCTCGGCTTCGTGCTTCCAGGAGCAATGTGAGATCGCAACTGTCTCTTCCTTTTAACTGCTAGTGGGGGTGTGAGCTGATTGGGTGGGAACTTGGCTGTGTTCTGATTGGGTGGAGGTGTGTTCTGATTGGTTAGGGGCTTGGCTGTGCTGTGATTGGATGGGGGTTGGTTGTGCTCTGATTGGCTGGGGGTGTGTTCTGTTTGGGTGGGGGCTTGGTTGTGCTCAGCTTAGTCTGAGTTGCAGGGGGATTTGAGCTGGTGAGCTGCGTTGTTGTTGTTTGGCTTCATGTTTGTGGCCGTGCGAGCTCTTCATGGTGGGTGTCAGTCTGCTTCGTGTATGGATTGGAGGGGTTTAAAGTGGCTAATGATGCAGCTGCGGTCTGGCTTCTGGTCCTTGGTCGTGGCTCATTATCAGTGTGGGGTATAAGGATAATGATAATGATAATGAGCCACGACCAAGGACCAGAAGCCAGACCGCAGCTGCATCATTAGCCACTTTAAACCCCTCCAATCCATACATGAAGCAGACTGACACCCACCATGAAGAGCTCGCACGGCCACAAACACAAAGCCAAACAACAACAATGCAGCTCACCAGCTCAAATCCCCCTGCAACTCAGACTAAGCTGAGCACAACCAAGCCCCCATCCAAACAGAACACACCCCCAGCCAATCAGAGCACAACCAACCCCCCATCCAATCAGAGCACAGCCAAGCCCCTAACCAATCAGAACACACCTCCACCCAATCAGAACACAGCCAAGTTCCCACCCAATCAGCTCACACCCCCACTAGCAGTTAAAAGGAAGAGACAGTTGCGATCTCACATTGCTCCTGGAAGCACGAAGCTGAGAACACCAGCCTGAAGATGACGAATGAGACTTCGTCGAAACGTCGATATATATATATATATATATATATATATATATATATATATATATATATATATATATATATATATATATATATATATATATATATATCTGACAGGATATTTATTTTTATGTAAATAAAATTATTTATTGTTAACTGCTTCAGAGGCTCATTTGTTCAAGTAGATCTTAATAGAGATAAAGGTTTATGGTACATTGATTTATTTCCTCAACGACACAGTGACTGTATGTCTGATGACTATTTCTGAGATAACAAGTTATCAAAACTAATGTCTACTTCAGGGGTGCCCAACCTTGGCAACTTTAAGACTTATGGACTTCAACTCCCAGAATTCATAGCTGGCTGGGGAATTTTGGGAGGTTTTTTTTTATATTTGATTTATAGTTATAGTTAAAGGGAGTTAAAGAGTTAAAGTCCACGGGTGTTAAAATTGCCAAGATTGGACACCCCTGGTCTATTTCATTTATCCAATTGCGATAGTAAAGGTTATTTCATATTTAAAATCATCCCCATAAACTGGATATTACCAGGATGTTAAGAAACTATAAGGTGAATATAGAAGCAGCCCCTACCTTCTGCTTGATTCCACCTCTAAAAGTGATGAATTTTTAAAGCTAACATGAGTAATAGTAATCGACATATGTGGGTCTGTAAAGTTTCTGTATGTCCTAAACACATACAGTGTGTTTAGT